TTGTCTTTGCTCGCTGGTTCAGGATGGAGAAGACACTTCCTCTTTAACTGACTTGCAAATTGTACAGTATCACTGCGATACTGATAGGGTACAAGCTGCACAGTTTCAGTCCATGGATGCTTTTACAAAAAAAAGAGAAAGAAATTAAGGAAATGTCCATGGCAAGCCGTAAGGACGGCAAATATGTACACATATCTACTACAGAGGATCGTAATAAAATCAAAGCTTTAGCTTCAGAACTAAAAGAACAATACGATTACCTTATGTCAAAACCTGATAGTGACATAGAGAATAAAAATTGTGAAAAGTACTCTCAAGTGTCTGTTAAAGGTGTGAACAACACCGCGGGTGGATCAAACATAATTAAAGGGAAATCATTCTTTAGAAAAATACAAAGGAAAACTGCTACACGCAAAGAAAGGAGGAAAAAGTCTTGCAAGAAAAAAGTCAGTTCTCAAAACACTAAAAGGCAATAATATATTGAGAACCTCTCAAACAGAACATTAACTGACGCACAAATTAGTTTAATCTCTCGAGGTCTCAAATCTATACCAGTCAACAAATAAGTAATCAGAAACAAAATACGATGACAGTTGCTACGAGATTTCGAAAATTTGCAAGTCGAATGTGCCTTAAATATATGTTCCACAGAAAAAAATGGGACGTTCACCCTTTCTACGTTAAGTGTGACTGGAACACACCGGTTCAACCATCAGTAGCCTTCGAGAGCTATCTGGAAGAAGTTAAATCACAACTCGCGGGGATGAAAATAACAAAGCCAAAAAATAACTTGTCATGCAAGGAACACGAAGCATTAACAGAATTAAAGCAAAACAAAGACATCAACCTTAAAAAAGCGGACAAGGGAAGCACTACAGTCGTCATGAACAAAACTGACAAAATAGGAGAGGGTCAAATACAAATCGACGACAAACATAACTACAGACCTCTCTCTGACCCCATGGTGAAAGAAACGCACAGCAAGGTTTTGTGCCTAATTACGGATCTTACCGTGAAAAAGTTATTGATGGCATGACAAGAAAATGGCTATCTCAAATGCCTAAACCACCTAGGACACCAGAGTTCTACTCTCTAACGAAATTTCAAAAGCCAACCATTACAGGGGGACCAATTATCTCCAGCTGTGATGGTCCAACAGAAGGAATTTCCTCTTTTGTTGATACATTACTTTAACCACCCTTGTAAAAATTAATCAGCGATCGCACCGCAATGATCGCGGTGCGATTGTGCATATCGACGCGATGATTGTGATCGCAGCGCGATATCAGCGATAGCGATGCAATGGTAGTAAATCATGCTTGCAATAGCGACGCGATCGCAGCAAAGTTATAGCGACCTCAGCGTGATGATCGTGATTGCAGGAAGATGAACGCGATTGTGGAACAATTTTGAAAAGTCGTATCTGCAATCCCAGGGTCAGGATTGCGATCCTGGCGATGAAATCACAATCGCAGCGAAGTTATAATGATCTCAGCCCGATGATCATGATCGCAGGAAGAAGAATGCAATCGCGCCGCGATTCGGAAAAATGGTATCCACGATCTCAGGGTCTGGATTACGATCCTGGCGATGAAATGGCGATTGCAGTGGCATTGTACTTATCGCGGCGTGGTGATTTCAATCACAGCAAAGATAGAGCGATCGAAGTGAGAGCGATCTCAGCGAAATGATCGTAATCGCAGGAAGATGATTGCGATCGCGAAGACAGACAGCCTTTATTTTAGCTCGATGATACTAAAAGCTATGCAGCTTATAGGGTGGTGCGATTTTGAAAAATAGTATCTGCGATGGCAGCGACATTGTACTTATTGTCGCATGCTCATTGCGATCACCACAAAGATATAGCGATTGCGGCAAAGCTATAGTGATCTCAGGGCGATGATCTTGATTGCAGGAAGAAGATTGCTATCGCGGCAATGATCGCGCGCAATTTTGAAAGAGTGTCACGATCGCAGCCGCATTGTACTTATCGCGGTGTGGTCATCGCGACAATTTGACAATGATCGTGAATGCGTTCCGATTGCGGTGCTATTAGCGCAATAGTTGTGAAGTAATAGCCATAAACAGGAAAAGTAATTGGAAATGAAACTGGATTATTACCGCAACCACGGTGTGAGAGCGTTGGCGCTAAGCATGATAACATTTCGTTGAGAGCAATGGCTGTGTGATTTTCATGTTTACGTTTTATCGATAGGCGAAGATGGAGTGTTTCAATCAGCATACTTGACATTTTTAGCGCCGGGTTTTGCTGCAAGGTTCTGATAACGCCTATCGTTGCCCTTGTTTAGCGTGTAGTAAGTCACTTATTGGATGGTAATGGTGCAATAGATAAAAAATATCAATTCCACAGTACGACACCTCTGTTTATTCTTAATAATGATTTACATGGTGTACCCGACCTTTAAATTATGACCTTATTCATATTTTGTTCAATTATATTACAACTATCTGCCCAGTCCCTTTTCGAGCAGGGAAAATATAGGAAAGACAGCAACAAAGCTATAACAAGAAACATCACAAAAAATAAACCGTCACAATTTCTTTCACTGGAGTAAAATCGTATCAGTACCAATTTTATATGTTGTGGTAAACTGGAAAACAACTTATTTTTTTTGCTGCAGCTAATGTTGCACAAAAAGAGAAAACCCTGGTAAAAATATGTTCATTTCATTCAGTAAAGTGTTTGAGTACCAATGAACTGCAGGACTGCAGGAAAGGTGCCAATAGTATACGAGCCCTCTTGAAGTGCTAGTCTGCCCTCGGTATAAGTGTTTAGTTCCTTACCCAATTTTTATAATAATAGTCGGTGACAACAGTCCCAGACGGAAAATATAATTTGAAACATGTAATTGTCAACTCTACAGAGTCTAACAGATTTGTTTTACCTTAAGACACTACAAGAGACTATAAAAATCATTTTCTTCTGTTCTGAACTGGACAACATATGTGAATACAATAAAGTCTTTCACGTTGCATCATTAGAGGGAACACTCACAGTACCACTGATTCTAGTACAGTCAGAAATGGTGACATCAACAATCACATTGCTGAGCATCATTAACACACGAAACATCAAACCTTCAAACCATTCAAACCTTTCGCAATATTGTATCAATGGCTTTTTAAAAATTCTGTCAAGTGGCATCAGTTACTTGCATAATAATTAACAGGCTTTGTTCCCAAAGGCGGATAAGGCTCCAGAAGCATACTTCCAGCCGAGCCCACTTGCGCTCAGGAAAAGAAGCGACAACTTTCGATTCAGTAACGCTATTAGCTATTTAGTCGCTTTCCAAAAAGTTTGGAATAACAGAAACAAATGTGTTGCTTCCAACCTCCATGAACACATTCTTTCTTCTTATTGCATTGACATCAATGGCTACAATTTCTTCTGATGTCGCAACTTTTGTGGCCATTGGAAGGTGGTCGTTGAAAATTCCTTCCCAATGTCCGGAGAGGGTCATGGCAAATAAAGTGCTCGTTGGAGATAGGCATCTTACTATTGCCAGGTCGCTGTCTTCCAAATGGATAAAATATTCCATTTGTCCAAACTGTGATTGGTTGCGGCGGGATTTCTTTAAAAGAATTTCTCGCTGCCACACGAGTATATTCCTGGCTTTGGAATACATGGCCCCTTTGCTGGATTCTTAAAAATTTGGACACTTTGGATCCTTGGGCAATGGAGAATTTTCCCCTTCTACAGAGAAAGTTCTTTACTGCTTGCCTCTCCTGGTGCGGAAGTACCTCCTGGAGAGGAGCACCCAGAAAGGTGGTTACATCTGGCGGGACATTTTCTGACCTAGCATTCAATGAGAGAGAAGTTGTAATAATGTTGAAATACAAATAGCCCAAAAATGTAAAACCAAAATTTTCTTCACTTTCTTTTTGTAATGCCTAACCTCGTAGAAGGGGCATCGTTAATAACGAACACAGGCTAGCATAATAGACAGAAACTGGGTTGTTACAGAACAGGAGTTTAAAAATAAGTATTTCTTATAATTCCGATTATGCCTGAATTGCAACTGTCACTCTCCTCGGAGACTAGAGTAGACGGAAGAAATTAAGGCAACCATGTCAGAATCAGCTGAGTTTGAGATTGCTTTTAGTTTTAGTCAATGGAGAATCTGTATTCAGTGACAAACCTGTTCGAAGTTCCTGAAACTTGATGGAGAAAGTCCAAAACGTCAGGGCTTAGCCCTTGATGCTCTAGTTGTTCCAGGATTTCTGGCCCCATCTGACAATGAAGAACATGATCTGCTCAATTTTGTAATAATATAGGCTTATGTTTTTACAGAGAAACTATTAGCACAACTATCATTGCCTTACATTTTGTACATTTGTTTGCCGGGTCTGTAAACTATCTTATCCCCCATCTCCCCTCAAGATTTAAAAAAATATTAATCTTCACACCCGCTCTGAAATAATTATAGCGGGTTCCATGAATCATGGCTTTTATAAACCCTTTAGTGGACTCGTACGGAATGTGCCGCAGCATGTGTACCTTCATCGTCATTGTTTCTTCTCCTACAAAGAAATTAAGATAGAATTAAGGAAGACAGGGATGAGGGAATGGATTGTTGGATAAATGAATGAATGAATGAATGAATTAGCCTGTAAAAATGGTGGATGGATGGGTAGATGCATGGGTGGATGATTGAGTGAATGAAAGGATGGATTTAGAGAATGAATGAATACGACCTAAAGATGAACAGAAAACACTTATGACTTAAAATATAAAGGGTCATACACCAGGGCGCCTTTTATGATGGCACTAATAATTGTTTATTTGCTGTGCCACCTCAGGGCGCTGTCAACTATATCTTTTAACAGGAAGTATTTCTTGATGTCCACTATATGGTATGATAATATTTCCATGAAGTGCATCGTAAGAAGTGTGTAGTGATTTCAAAAAGGAATGCATGGATTGTAATATTTTTCAGTTGTCAAGACAAAAAAATGTCTGGTCACTGGACGACTGCCTCTTATAGTTGCCCCATGGGCTTGCAAAAGTCATCCAGAACAAGTTCGGCTTTCCTTAGATCTCCACTTGGGATGTTATCTGTAAAAAGAACATAGATGAACCATGCTAATAAGATGAAATGCTCCAGATACAGGGAAGGTAGCACTTCCTCTAGAACTGGGATACTGTAATGCAGGAGCCAAGCTCTGTATTTATTTGCTGCAATTGATGCACGTTAAAATGTATGTCGAGGATAGTAAAAGCTTTCCCTTTAAGATATTAGAAAACTTCTAAGTCAGTCGGATATTTACCTTTCCAGTCTTCCCTCTTGTCAAGTTTACGGTGCAATCTGGAGATACAGTCCATGATTCGTATCGACTGCACGCATTTGTTTAGAAGTGGAAGCTGTAAGGTAAGAGAGGATACCGTGTGCAATTATATGTTTGTTTACTAAAGTAACAATGGGGACAGTTAAGCGCTGCATCTTTCTAAGCAATTTTTATTGAACGGTTTCATAATATATAAGTGCCATTTATCATGAACTGTTCCATGAAAGCATTTAATGAAGGGCAGAAAAGAAAGAAAGTTTGCAGGTCCAATGACTTAGTAAAAGCCTATCAAAGTCAAACTACCGGTATGTTAAAAAAAAATGGACTCAAACTCTTACCTTGTCTCCTATAAAAAAGGGCTTTGCTTTGTTGTCTTTGCTTAGCCACAGATTCAATAGCTGTGGGAGGATGCCCAAAAGAACAGTGTGCATGCAGTCCACCACGAGGCCCTTGAAAATATCAAACGTTCTGTGCAGCAGCAAGACTCTAGCTCCCCTTTATACCTTGACACTAACCCACTTCCTTTTAAGGCCCTCATCAGGGAGCTTTCGCATCAACGAGATTATGACATCTTCGTTGTCTAACCGACTCACGTAGTTGTGACCCATACTGGTCAGGACCCTCCTAGCATCTTCCAGTCACCTTACAAACTCCATGAGAGTCGTCGCATCTGCTTTCCACACTTGAATTTCTCTCAGTTTCTTCATGTGGGCTTCTACTATCATGTGAGGCTGGCCAAAGTTCTCGCGAAGAGTTCTCCAGGCTTCTGTGTACCTTTCACCCACTGTCAAATTAACACAACTCCTAATTGCTTCCTTAGCTTTGCCTGAGCACTGAGCTAAAAGGCATGTCAGTCTTTGAGACTCATCAAACACCTGGTTCTCAATATTGTCTCTAAAGTTCATAACGAACTCCACATACTCCAAAGGGTCTCCACTGAATTTCATCAACCCTACTTTCGGTAAGGATGGCCCTTGCTTGATTGCTTCGGCAACTGCCACCCAAGGATCAGGTTGCATGCGTGACTGCGGACTAGCTCGCTGCTCAAAAGGAGGGGCTGAATAAATGTACGTTGATGTGCATTGCCGAGGAGTGTCGGCAGGATAGAACTCGGTTGCTGATGCATCTAAACCTACAGTTCGTGGGCTACAAGACCATGTAGGCATTCCTGGTGACTGGTGCATCGACATTGGTGATGCCGCAACAGCTGTGGATGTTGCCCTTGGCAAATTAAAACGAGGTGCATAACTGATAGGCGTGCTGAACTTAGTACAATTAATTGGAGCCTGGGTAGTTAAACTACTAGAACTCGTCTTGTGAATTGCAACTCTTCCTACGTTTGGACCAGAAGTCGTGACCGCTGACCCTGATGTTACGTAACTCGCAGTCACCAATGATGAAAGTGAAGTTTGGGCAATATCTTGTGCTGAAGATGTTTGCATTTTTCCAATGTCAACAACTGGCTGGGATTCTGAAGAGGGTGTGGCACCACCCGTAACAGGCTGTAACAAATGCCCCTTCGCAGGAGGATAATTGGCACTATGCTCTTTTAAGTAATCATTCATCCCATCCTTCGCTTCATTCTCTTCGCCGCGCTCCGGTAATAAGTCAATTTCCGCCTGCTCCATCTTAGTTTTAGCACTCCACAGCTCTAATTTCCTGTTACGAAATGCTTCTTCATACCTGTAAATCTTGGCTTCCACTCCACTTATCTCTGTGCTAGAGCTTAAAATCAATTCTTGTACACAATTTCGCCGTTTCCGCAGTTCTCCAAGATACCAGTTTCGCTGACGCTTCGCATGAACCACTTTCTCGACTCGAACTTCCAATTCATCTATTCTTTTGTTCGGCTCCCTTAATCTAACAGGCCTGGAACTACTGCCTTGTTCTACCGGATCCTCGCCATAGAAACCAAATTCCACGTTTCCACTTGTTAATGATGGCCCTACTTGCTCTAATTCACCATTCTCATCACCTTGGAACGTGCGCTGAGGCGATTTCTCTGTTGGCGCCGAATCGGGAACATTTTCCTTCTGTGGAGTCACGTGAGTGGCTGCTTGCTCGTGTCCACCTTTCTTAGCACCACTTTTCGATTTCTTGCTCTTCGAATTCTTGCCAGTCATTCCGTCCCTATAACCACAGTACTGCTTGAAATCAATAACTTCGAATGATGTAGCGTCCACTCATGGCTACTTGAAACTGTACTTTAATCAGTTGTTCACTTGCTAGTTCGTTTCTAATCTGCACATAACTTGTATTCATTCCATTCACAAATTCCACGTGAAAGAGAAAGATTCGCTGAAATAACAACAACGCGACTATTACAAAGATGATATTTACCGAATAACCGAAAATACTGCATACTTACAAGTTATTGTGCCTTCTTAATGGAAAGGAAAACTTGTCCTAACGAAACGACAGTATAACTCCATAACAAAACATGTGCTTTTTCGTGGGAAAGAGCGCCCGTGATATTTTGTGTACGGTCACCGAAGACCACACCATATGACGTTTATTTTCTGTCTCTTACATTAAATGACTTGCAAATTGTACAGTATCACTGCGATACTGATAGGGTACAAGCAAATCAAGGCTTTAGCTTCAGAACTAAAAGAACAATACGATTACCTTATGTCAAAACCTGATAGTGACATAGAGAATAAAAATTGTGAGAAGTACTCACAAGTGTCTGTTAAATGTGTGAACAACACCGCGGGTGGATCAAACATAATTAAAGTAAATCATGCTTGCAATAGCGACGCGATCGCAGCAAAGTTATAGCGACCTCAGCGTGATGATCGTGATTGCAGGAAGATGATTGCGATTGCTTCGCAATTTTGAAAAGTCGTATCTGCGATCCCAAGGTCAGGATTGCGATCCTGGCGATGAAATCGCAATCGCAGCAAAGTTATAATGATCTCAGCCCGATGATCGTGATCGCAGAAAGATTGCGACCGCGGCACGAATAGTATCCCCGATCTCAGGGTCTGGATTGCGATCCTGGCGATGAAATCGCGATCGCAGTGGCATTGTACTCATCGCGGCGTGGTGATTTCGATCACAGCAGAGATTGAGCAATCGTGGCGAAATGAGAGCGATCTCAGCGCAATGATCGTAATCGCAGCGCAATGATTATAATCGCAGAAAGATGATTGCGATCGTAAAGACAGACAGCCTTTATTTTAGCTTGATGATACTGAAAGCTATGCAGCTCATAGGGTGGTGCGATTTTGAAAAATAGTATCTGCGATGGCAGCGACATTGTACTTATTGTCGCGTGATCATCGTGACCACGGCGAAGATATAGTGATCGTGGCGAAGCTATAGCGATCTCAAGGCGATGATCGTGATTGCAGGAAGAAGATTGCTATCGCAGCAATGATCACGCGCAATTTTGAAACAGTGTCACGATTGCAACCGCATTGTACTGATCGCGGCGTGGTCATCGCGATAATGTGACAATTAACATGTATGCGCTGTGGTGCTGTTAGTGCAATAGTTGCAAAGTAATAGTGATAAACAGGAAAAGTAATAAAACGAAACTGGACTATTACCTCGATCGCGGTGTGAGAGCTTTGGAGCTTATCCCTGTTGCATCATGGCAAACTAAGTAGCACGATAACACTTCGTTTAGAGCGATTGCGGCATGATTTTCATGTTTACGCAAGGTAGCTGAAAAAGAAGATCGCATGGCAATTTTTAACATTTCATCGATAGGCTAAGATGGAGGGTTTCGATCAGCATGCTTGACATTTTTAGCGCCTTGTTTTGCCGCAAGGTTCTGATAACGCCTATCATTGCCCGTGTTTAGCGTGTAGTAAGTCGCTTATTGGATGCTAATGGTGCAATAGATAAAAAATGTCAATTCCACAGTACGATACTTCTGTTTATTGTTAATAATGATTTACACGGTGTACCCGACCTTTTACATTATGACCTTATACATATTTTGTTCAATTATATTACAACTATCTCCCCAGCCTCTTTTCCAGCAGGGAAAATAAAGGAAAGACAGCGACAAAACTATAACAAGAAACAACACACAAAAAATAAACAGTCACAAGGTATGCAACTTTACTGTGCAATTCCTTTCACTGGAATAAAATCGTATCAGTACCAATTTTATATGTCGTGGTAAACTGGAAAACAACTTATTTAATTTGCTGCAGCTAATGTTGCATAAAAAGAAAAAACCCGGTTAAAAATATGCTCACTGGATCTAGGTTGTCACTTTAAATGGCAAATAAAGTGCTCGTTGGAGATAGGCATCTTACTATTGCCAGGTCGCTGTCTTCCAAATGGATAAAATATTCCATTTGTCCAAACTTTGATTGGTTGCGGCGGGATTTGTTTAAAAGAATTTCTCATCGTCACACGAGTATATTCCTGGCTTTGGAATACATGGCCCCTTGGCTGGATTCTTAAAGGGACACAGTCAGCTGGTGCGCATGTGCATTGGATACCATTTCTCAGCTAATTTGCATATCACAACGTCACCCGCGCGAATCCAAAAGTGAGATGCGCATCCCGTCGGGAAATCTTCAATGAATCTTCAAACCTCTTGAATCGAAGTAAACGCGAGTCTACATAGTTCTTATAGAGCGTAATTTATACCAAGGCACTGATTTTCTTTAATACCACGGATAATTTACCGATGGACTTGTCCAGGGAAGGCGAAACGTCTCTGAGAAGCGAAACGTCCGAAGTCGAAGAATCAGCGGAGGTGAGAAGCACTCTGTGATTTCAATCAGATACTTTGCTTTTATATGCTTTAGCTGAATTGCGTTTTAAAGCTTCTCCACTTTCTAAATTATTTTAGGAACCAGACCCATGTAATTGTAAGAGTGCTTGCTCAACCCGAAGAAAGGAGGGTTCAACGAGAGGTTGCGCTTGTCGGTGCGGGAAGCCTTCTAAACCCTGCCAAAATAAGGTGAGATAAAAAGATATTTCTTTCATCTTTGTATGTAAGGCTTTAGGTCAATTATCGTTTGCGCTAGTGCTTCTCAAGTCACAATGAAATGGTCAAGGCACTTTACAGATATTCCGAGATGTGAATATAAACATCTAGTACGCTAACCGAACTCAAGCTTATTATTACCCACGAAAATTACGAAGAAGCTAAAACAACTTGCTAGCCTATGTTCATTCTTCTGTGAAATTTGAGAACTACTCATAGACACAATAATTTGTTGTTGAACAGGCTAATGCTACGAACCCTGCTAGGGACAACCAAGCCACTCAACGCCCAAGCGAAGAGAATGAGCGTGTTGCTGCAAACCAACAAGTCAAGGTAAAATGTCAATTATTGACCCAGGATTTGCGACGCTTCTATTATACTTTGTACAACGTTGTTTCTACAAAGCTCAGGACCTCTATTGCAACGCGTTACGATGCATAACAAAAGAATATTGTCACAAACAGGGTGTAAGTAACTTATATTTTTATGGGTTTTTATTATACAAGTCTTCATCTTCCTGTCATTTTATTCAATCGAAATTCGGGACACAGGCACAGAAATTTGACTCACTGAGTTGTAATATGCTCCTGAACCGACCACTATTCCTTATGGGTGTGCAGAAACTAATATGCTAACTCTTTGTCGTGGGCCTTCAAGTTTTTGTCACTCTTTTATATGCTATAGTTATAGATACCAATGTCCCACTAATCCATACTTGCCACATAAATGAACAAGGACTGGAGATGTTATGGATCTGCTATAGGATCATCATTCCAAATGAATGTTGTTCTCTATAATTTGCAGGATTTCATAAACACACTTGACTCAGAGACCGTAAAGAAACTGTGCATTAGAAGCCTGAGACGGGGAATTGGAAGTCTAGATTATATAGACTCCTTGCTCATTATGGAAGATGATCTGGATAATGATAATAATGAAGATGACATTGCTGAGGCGCATAGTCCTGCAGCTGAGGCTAGTATCACAATAACACCACCACCCCAACCCATCCCTCTGCAGAGGCAAGGACCACGTCCTGAGTGGTGTGTATGTGGGAATTGCCGCAACATGCCCCTGGAGGTGGAGAAGGTGTGCTGTAGGAAAAAAAACTGCGATGCCAAAAAACCAAGATTCAAAAAACTGTGTTTGGACCCTGATTATCTTGAACTGTCAATAAAAAGCAGTGCTGATATCAGGAATGACAGGCAAAACAACAGCACTAGAAGTTTTAGAAAAGCTGCTTATCGCCACTATATTCTTGATAAGCATGGATATTTAGGCAAGGGAAGGAGGAGAGTTGCACCATCATGTGTTGTCTGGGAAATCCGTGAACATTACCCATCTTCTACTGGCATCTACATGGGTTTCAAGGAGCGCTGAACACTCTTACTGTACATGATAATGTTATTAAGGAAAACTAAATGACACCAGAGTTTGAGATAAACCAGCAACAACATTGCCATATTATTTACTTGATTTGTGAATCCTTATTACAACCTTTTATTCTACATCAGTCACTTGATCTACATTAACAACTTGTTTGCTTGAATTACAAAACCATAGTGACAGTGATCAAATACTGTCACCAGAAAGCTTGTTTGCTTGTGAGAGTTATTATTGGTACTCCGGATTTCAAGTGACAGCGATGATTGAATGGGTGCAAAAATTAAAATCCCAAAAAATGCCCGGGCCAAAATTTAATCTCGAACAAATCCCATGCCGAAATTTCCAAGCCATAAACATTCCTTGGAGGCTTGATACAAACATTAAAATCCCTATTAAAAAAAAAAAAAAAATGCTTGCAAAACTGTCACTGCCCCCCAAAGATCCCGAGATCGAAAATTTCAACTCCCCCGCAAAAATCCTTTGATAATCCCTGTAACTTGAAATCCGGAGTACCACCCACCACCCCTCCCCCCCCACCCCTGGGGTGGAAATTGCCATTAAAAACTTATTTCTTAGTTTCAAACCTTGTCTGATGTCTTTCAAACAATTCCTTAGAAGATACGGGAGCCGTGTGGGCAATGGTTGACGCTATTCTCTCGGGGTCATTTTCTGATAGAGACACGTGTCTGTCTGTATGCAAGACATCTTCCATGCGTCGGCGAAAAACTTTGGCCATTATTATGGGAATGTAATCATAATCCTTGTCTACTTTTATGATCCGTGTGTTCCACTCTTTTGTGCGTTGATTGTATTTCCTGCTATATCTTGCTTCCCCCCCTTTTGATCCCACAGCAACTTTTCTGTCAAGATGATAATTCCAATCGATTGCTGCTAGCTGCTTTCTTGCCTTGTAAAACCTGTACCTGTTACAGAGATAGAAGAGGATGTTACATGGTGACACAGATATGATTTTTCTCTTGGAAACGTCAACTATTTTTCAACTTGACAAAAGAAATTTAGAATCTCCAAGTGGGCATGTTCTCAATGAAACATTGTATGGAGCACATTTGCAGAAGAAGCAAAATTTACACGTTTGCTTGCCCAATAAATGAAGCTGGTGTTTCTTTGACATACATCTATAAATCAACTTCCCCACACCCACCACTCCAAATTATGCAGCAATTATGTCACTAATGATGCCCACCTTGGAATTTTAGAGACCCTTGACAAAGATGGGGCATAACAACTGAAACTGTCTTCTTGAAACACTTCCTTTTTCACCCTCCCCCCATACATACAGTTCTATCACATGTGATCCCCTCCTGGATTCAACAGTTGCAGTAGTACTTTGCTTGTGAACTTACAATTATTATTATTATATAACAAAAATACATTTGGGCCTAAGAAATTAAGTCTATCTATGACTTGTGCAATATAAGTAAATTATCAACTAATTAAAATCATACTTGTAAGAAGTTCTCTTAGCAGCATATGCCAATGACATGCTGTTGAGGCATTCCAAAGATCCTGTGTGCCTTTAAAACATAAGAATGATACTACAATGAGGATTCCATTGGGGATTTGAATGTCTTTTCAGGTTTCTTAGCGATGGACATCAGACTCAACCCCCTAAATAATTGTCTTGTCAAAATATGCATTCCTGTTGTGGCTGAAAGTAAACTAAAAGCATGCTACCCCCAAAAATAAACATCTGTTGAATGTAATTCAAATCACCACATGTCACAGATGAAAAGCATTTACCTAAACTTCACATAATACTTGAAGCTATCGAGTAGTGATGGCTCAAGCACCACTTTCTGCAATGCTTCATAGTCCTGCTCCCTCCGGTCGAACCAAGGTGGGTGTTCTTCGTTTGGTTCCATTTCTTCGTGGTTGCATCTTCCTGTAGTCCACTCATGTTCATTACATGCGTGATGCAGTAGGCTTAGCCATTTGTCCTATGAAATAAGCCAGTAATATGATCAGGTACTTCACACATGATGACAAGACACTTGTTCACTACATGGGAATATGAGTGAAAATACAAGGGCTGACCTTGACTGGCATTGTATGGTATGAATCATAGATATGAAAAAACCTCTTGCTCTTAAATAGTTAAGTTATTTAACTATCTACCTTCATTGCTGCAAGAGCCTCGGTGGTGTCTTCATGTTCAGATGCAATTGAACAGCAATGCCAGAAGTGATTTATTATTTGATTCGACCACTTTCCCACTTTATCATTTCCTTTGGTACTGGCAACCTACCAAAAAAAACAACACACAAATACAGGGGTATTTCATATTAGTAATGTCACATTTGGATTTTACCCCCAACCCCTGAATTTCATCATTTTTTTTGGAAGGGGGGAGCAGGGCTTAGGCAAAAAAAGTAAGTATCCATTATTCTACACTAAAGTTTCTGACCATCATTCCCAGTCGGGGCGGAGGGTGTAGGAAGGTTAATACACTGAAGCACCTAGAATAATGCAAATTCTTTATTTTGTCTCACTACCTTTTGAATACTCTTGCGTATGCTTTTCGCCTTGTGCCAGACATCCAGAGAGTGGAAGAGGGTCTTGAATTCATCAGCTAGGGAAACACACAAAAAAATAATATTAGCCATTAATTTTATAGAAAATGGGGTTGTAACTTTCATCTGAGGGTTAGTTTGAGAAAATTCACATTATGAACAAACATTGATGTCATAAAATGACAGCTGTAATACACCACAATGTACAGATTCTCTAATCCAACATCACCGTACTTTACATCATTTCAACAAAAAAGCAGGAATAACCCTGGGTAATCATTAAACTGTGAACCTGACAGGGATCTATACCCGATTGGACAGAAACACAGCCAAACATTAGATAAAGCTCACTGTACAACTAGTTCCAATTTACCTATAAGCTTCTTTATAGAGGATGATGCATCTGTACAAACTTCAATAACATTTAAGACTCTCTGGAGTCTCTGTAGACAGTGGTTCAAGGCCTTCTTTTCCATTGTACTTGATTTCAATCCAACATGTCTTTTGTCCAGGACTTCTATTTCGATCACATAGCCAGTGATCATCTCCATTACGTAGTAGCACAGATTTTTGGCTGAAAAGCCAGGAGAGTCACACTGCCCATCCCCACAAACAGTAAGGTCATCATTGGCAAATTGGGCCCACAATTCCTCTCTCATATGTTCCCACCATTCATCAATTACAGGGGCACAATACAGTTTCTGGATTCTCGACTCTCGAGTCCTAGGTGCTTTGCAAATTTTTCAATTTTTGAAAAATTGTTTCCTGACGTGAGAACTGCAGCTGCCGTTTGGAGGTTATTGGACAACATGCCATTTGCATCTCCTGAAGTACAAAACCGTCCCTTGTGCCCAGCTGGACACTTGCAACGAATTACTGCACAAGTGCCACACAGTGAGTATTCAAGAGTCGCCATGTGAATGCACCCTGGAAACTTGCATGGCCCTGCAAGCTGCTGCAGCAGCAGATCTAACGAGCAGATTACTTTCGTTCCTTTGATATGACCAAGTTCTTCTGTATAGAGAATTTCTTCTTCTTTTCTTGAAAAGCGTTTATGAGGACCATACTCAGGCTGGTGTTTTGGGATGGATGATTGGCTCATCTGCTCAAAAGCTGTCTGGGTCCACACTGATACAGAACCTGTAGTTGATTTATCAGACTGTGCAACATGGGATGTTGGCAGCTGCTGGACTGACAAACTTCCATCCTCCACAAGCACGGCTAACACTTCTGTGAACTCCAACACGGTTGTCTCATCCAACTCATCAACTTCACTCTCAGGGCCTTTGTCTTCTCCACTAAGAATGTAACAAACAGGGTATTAAAATTAACAGCTACATCATCCACAATCAAACAATCTTCTATTGTATGTTGTTTGTCATTATCCTATGTGTCTTGCAGAATCATACTTACAGTGGTTCAAATTCACTATCATCACTGTCACTATCATCCTCTGCCATAGTCAGGTCTTCATTGAGTAGCTTCAGGGCATCTTCAAGGTCACTGAGATAACATTAAAAAAAATACAATGATGTCGAGTTAGCTAGTTACAATACTCAAGTGGCTCCATCATTACAAACCACATTTCCCAAAATCAAAAACAAGACTTAATTTCCAAAAAGTAACAAAAGGTGAAACAAGCCTTTACTCAGATCAGCAGAAAGAGAAAAGATTTTTACTCAAAGGAATACGAAATAAACAATGACAATATCAATAACTTTCCCAAAACTACAAAAGAGATCAAGGCACACTTCTGATCTAGCTACTTTGTTCAGCCAAAATGGTCACGTGGTTGGGAATACAAACAGATTATCAATCTGTTGCCATAATAGTTAGATACTTGATAAAACTCCTTCATTTTCTTCTCAAATTAGCCAGGGGAAAATTGATTATTGATTATTGATTATCTGGCCTAATATTCTTACAGTCAGTGTTGAAGAAACTGCAAAGGAATGCCATTTACAGTACAATTGTTTACATGACTTGTTTACAATGTACCTATCGCAACTTTGTTCTGAAGACGAGGTTGAACTCTCCGTGTCACTGATGTCATGCTCATTGTCACTCTCATGGTCAATGACTACAGTGTCATTAACTATTTTGCAAGATTCATTGACAGCAAATGGACTTTCGGACCCAACGCCAGTGACATCAATAAATGAGTGTGACCTGCAACATGTGACGAACAACAAACATTTAGTAAAATTCATTAGAGATACAAGGCAATAATTATTATTACTGTCCACACTCATTGCTGCTACAAAAGAGTTTTTTTCTTGACAATTATTTTTATTTTGATTGCATTTAGCCAATACTTGATTTTCATGGCAGACAAATTCCATACAATGCAAATTGTTGAACTGGTGTGGCCCTTACATATATATTATACGTTTATGTTAATACAACTGGGTAGTTAACAGAGCTCATAAAAAACATCTACTGCCACAAATTGCACTGAGAACACGCATTTCAAATGTTAAACTTCCACACTTCTCACTACTGCCAGTACTTATAATAGAAATATCAGGAAGATCTCTGCCTTTTCCCAATGGAGTCGAAGTCAATGGACCTGGCATTAAACATGACAAAAAAAAAAACACGTGTACGGTAAGTTAATAAAATTTAAGTTAATAGAATTTCAAGTAAGAAGTCGAGCGTATATGTATACAAACATGCATGTACCTTCTTGATCTTCGGAATGTCTCGCTCTTTTGGCTGGTTTGCGAGTCTCTTCCATCTCATTCAATCTACAAAAAATGAAGAGATGTTCAAACATTTCTGTCCAGTATAAATATCACACATCCGTCTAAATTACAGAACGAGCTGGTACTTATACTCACTCATTTTCTTGCCTTCGTCTCAGCTCCAAACCGAGCAGCCATGAAGCGAACTCCGAATCGTTGCCAAATGTTCCCTCCGCACGAATCTTTCTCCAGCTTGAGAAAACCCGATTTTCCAAATATATGGAATGGTGGTTGGCTCTCCAGTGTTTCTGATTGATCTTCCTCGTTATTTTCGTTAACGCAGGCGATTTCTTCCGCCCGGCGCCTTCACGTTTACCTCCTCTTCTGTCTATGTTCCATTGGACACTTGATTCAATCCGTTTTAGCCAAATACGATAAAATAATTTTGAAAGATGACTAAAAGAATATTCAGGAACAGGTTTTGAGTAAAAGATCAACGATCAAAAGAACCACAAAGCACGATTGAAGCGGATTTTGTAGATGTCTACGACGCGTAACTTTGATTTCGGGTTGAGGTAAACGCTTTTCAAAAGTAACAAAACTAGTATCCAGGCCAGCGCGGTCTCAAAGCTGACTGTGTCCCTTTAAAAATTTGGACACTTTGGATCCTTGGGCAATGGAGAATTTTCCCCTTCTACAGAGAAAGTTGTTTACTGCTTGCCTCTCCTGGTACGGAAGTACCTCCTGGAGAGGAGCACCCAGAAAGGTGGTTACATCTGGCGGGACATTTTCTGACCTAGCATCCAATGAGAGATAAGTTGTAATAATGTTGAAATACAAATAGCCCAAAAATGTAAAACCAAAATTTTCTTCACTTTCTTTTTGTAATGCCTAACCTCGTAGAAGGGGCATCGTTAATAACGAACACAGGCTAGCATAATAGACAGAAACTGGGTTGTTACAGAACAGGAGTTTAAAAATAAGCATTTCTTATAATTCCGATTATGCCTGAATTGCAACTGTCACTCTCCTCAGAGACTAGAGTAGACGGAAGAAATTAAGGCAGCGATGTCAGAATCAGCTGAGTTTGAGATTGCTTGTAGTTTTAGTGAATGGAGAATCTGTATTCAGTGACAAACCTGTTCGAAGTTCCTGAAACTTGATGGAGAAAGTCCAAAACGTCAGGGCTTAGCCCTTGATGCTCTAGTTGTTCCAGGATTTCTGGCCCCCTCCGAATAATGGATTTCGTTAATGCAATCTGACAATGAACAACATGATCTGCTCAATTTTGTAATAATATAGGCTGATGTTTTTACAGAGAAACTATTAGCACAACTATTATTACCTTACGTTTTGTATATTTGTTTGCCAGGTCTGTAAACTATCTTATCCCCCATCTCCGCTCAAGGTTCAAATAGAATAGGAATCTTCACACCTGCTCTGAAATATAGCGAGTTCCATGAATCATGCTTTTTATAAACCCGTTAGTGGACTCATACGGAAGCACGAGAATACCCAAAGGTACACATAGGTATGTGCCGCAGCATGTGTACCTTCATTGTCATTGTTTCTTCTCCTACAAGGAAATTAAGATAGAATGAAGGAAGACAGGAATGAGGGAATGGATTGTTGGATAAATGAATGAATGAATGAATTAGCCTGTATATATGGTGGATGGATGGGTAGATGCATGGGTGGATGATTGAGTGAATGAAAGGATGGATTAGAGAATGAATGAATACGACCTAAAGATGAACAGAAAACGCTTATGACTTAAAATATAAAGGGTCATACACCAGGGCGCCTTTTAAAATGGCACTAATAATTGTTTATTTGCTGTGCCACCTCAGGGCGCTGTCAACTATATCTTTTAACAGGAAGTATTTCTTGATGTCCACTATATGGTATGATAATATTTCCATGAAGTGCATCGTAAGAAGTGTGTAGTGATTTCAAAAAGGAATACATGGATTGTAATATTTTTCAGTTGTCAAGACAAAAAAATGTCTGGTCACTGGACCACTGCCTCTTATAGTTGCCCCATGAGCTTGCAAAAGTCATCCAGAACAAGTTCGGCTTTCCTTAGATCTCCACTTGGGATGTTATCTGTAAAAAGAACATAGATGAACCATGCTAATAAGATGAAATGCTCCAGATACAGGGAAGGTAGTACTTCCTCTAGAACTGGGATACCGTAATGCAGGAGCCAAGCTCTGTATTCATTTGCTGCAATTGATGCACGTTAAAATGTATGTCAAGGATAGTAAAAGCTTTCCCTTTAAGATATTAAGTTAAGCAGATTGTGATCATCATTGCTTTCTCAGGAAATGCACTACCCACACAAATGGACAGAAAAATGATTTTTTACATAGTGTTGTTTCACAAATATCCATATTCCCCAATGAAGGCTTTTTGCTCTGAGTCGTCCTCTTTCCCCCCTACTTTCCTTCAAAAACTTTGGCCATTTAACGACCTCTTCTGTTAAAAAAGTTCAATTATCCTCAGTGAGGTGCGTATGGATATTTTTGAGGAACCATATATAAGTCCTGTGCACTTAAATATCTGGTGGAAGGAAATAGAATAAACAAAAAAATCAATAGTGTTTCCATAAAAATGGTGATAAAGTGCTCTGTTATTTATTCGATCCATGTAACATAATTTGTTATGGTAAGTAAATAATACAAACCTATTTTAATATACATGTACAGAATATCTAAAATAAAATATTTGTTTTCAGTGAAGGGATATAAAAATTAAATAAATCCATTACATTAAATAATCTATTATTAAATTAAATAATCCATTTTCATCCAATAATTTTACACACCCACAATCACATAGACTTATATAAACTATATATTTTCATTGTATTTTCCAAATCATATTGATCAAACTATGTTAATCATCAAATGTCTATAATATCACTGGCTGAAGATGTGCTGTAAAAAAGCAAACACTTCCCAACAGCTGTACAATAATCCGTTGTAAAAAATTGTTTTTTAATGTTAAGATTGTTTACTTTGAACATGAACTTTTGAGTTAATTACGTAACAAAATTCACAAGCTTTGTGTAAAACAATAACCGTCGACTTGCTTCTTTTGATTTTTTTGTTACAAGAAAAAATACTAACAGGAACAGAGGAGTAATATCATTAAGCACGAATAAGGGTTATGTCTGATCATCACAATCGAGTGTATTTAGGTGTAGCAACAGAACTGTGGTCTAATCCCATTGCATCCTGGTAGGGGTCCCAAGAGACCATTCCGGTATGCTTGATCCTGGGTGTCTTGGCATAGCCTGTGCACCACTATGCCATCTTGGGTAAGGGCTAAGATTTTGCATTATATCTGTGTTCATTGCTAGAATAGGGTATGCTGTGAAAGCTGGCTTCACTTCTTTGGGTGAGGAAAAGCTGAAAAAATTTGAGCTCACGCTGTCTAGACTTTTCCATTTCTTCTTTCATAAACGATATCAGTTCTTTTGTGGGGTAGTTTTGAACAGCCTCCTTTACAAGGGTCAATGCTTCTGTTGTTGCCGTATCAAGTCTCTCTTTAGATGACTGCCTTCTTTTTGCTTTTCTTTTTCCTGGCCACTATCATCCAAAGATCTCCCGAAAGACCACTAGGTGAAGGTGAGGCTGAGGGTTCCAGTGCTAAATCAGGCTGACAAGATTCTCTTGTCTTCACTACTTCAAAAAAAGCAGTGAACCACTCGCCAAGTCTTTGATCCTCTTGAAATCGTTTGATCCCAGTTGCTGTTTTTTTTGTGTCAGGGCTGTTTGCTTACATGGGCAGACACATTTTTCGAACTTGCTTCGTAGCTGATTAACAGAGAAACAGAAGTTTTCACCCCTTGCAGAGGCTGTAGGTTTAACTTCTTTCAAAATCTCTCCATATAGCTCTCCATTTCTTTGATTTTTTGTGTTTGTAACAATAAGTTATGAGTTGCTACTCACGATCATATCTGTAAGTTCATCAAGTGCCCGTGGACACCACTTGGCTTTCCGACCAGGTTTCTTTTTCTTGTTTCCTTTTGCTTTTTTGAAGAAAAGTTCGCGAGATGTTTCCAAGTCTCCATCACTATCATCCTAAGTTCCACAGGGATTGATGGCGAGCAATTGGCAAAATTAAACAAAATGAACTGGACTGCCGTGACACAGCCCCTTTAAACTGTATAGAAAAAATATATATATAGATATAATAGGAATGAATGAATGAAGAATGCATGATACAAAAGAATGTTTTTTATATCTATGATAAGTAGTTATAATAACACGCTTGGAAATTAATGCCTGAAATTGGGCCAAATCGAATGTCCCACTCTCACCAGTCCTCTTGTTTAAAATTTTGCGCGTTCATTTTGCTTTTTCCGCGCGAGGAGCAGAAATCGGTCACGATTTCCCCTTTTGAGGTAGACTGGTAACTAGTAAACAATGAACAGCAGCCAAATCCGAAATCCTCGAACACTAAGCTTTCATTTGGTTCCCTGTTTGACTTGGAAAAGAATATTTTGACACTTTATTAATCCCAGCAAAGAAGGTACTCCTGACAAGTTCGCTGATAGCAAATCCTGTGTCTCGACGGCTTTTTATGAAAATTTATTTCAGTTTTTTTTTTGTGGCAGTTTCTCAAAAAATAAAACCATAGTTCCCTAGAAAAGGTACGTATCTTTTGTTTTTGTGAGTGAATCTTTCAAAAACTGAAGCGTATCTGTTTGAAATTTTGTTCCTAAAACTGAGCATTTTTCACTGTTGAAGGTCAATTGTCAAAAAGTCTATCCTTGGAATTGGAAATATATGGGCAGCAAGAAAAAATCCCCGTGGAGGAAAACTACTTGCTCGCAGAAACGTCGATTTCCACTCAGTGAATTATCAAAACAGAAAGCTATCCTCCGCAATGAATATTTATCAAAAAGTAAGGAATTGTGTTCATTAAAAAAGAAAATCCAGGGGCTCCAAGAGAAGAGTGATAAGGTACAAGAATGTATCAACTCTCTTGACACAACGCTCCCAGTTCAACCCCGTATAAGCGCCTTTGAAATTTCAAAAAATACCTCCACCAGACGAAAAAAGGATCCCTCTGAACTTTCTAATGAAGGTAAACTGAACTTGCCTAGACGAAGTGCCCAGAGAAGGCAGTTGGAAACCTTACAGGCTGCTGCAGAGATCAGTGGTGGTACAGTAGAGAACAAAGGTCCTGCTCTTGATGGTATGATATCTACTGTTTTGAAGTATGGCAAAATAACTGATATTACAAAATATTTCTGCTCGTCCAAAAAAATGAAAAAAGCAGCTCTGGTGAAAATAAAGGCAGAGACAGAACGTTATGAAAAAAGCAATGAAAATTTTATCTGCTCACTTCCCCTGCTCTATGCAGGAGGGATAATAGGAAAAGTGAAATATGAGCAAGGGAGGTCTGCCCTTGTGATGAAGCACACTGAGAAGACCACCAAGAAAGGAAATCCCTCCAAGCAAAGATTTACATTTGGCTTTGGAATCCCTATTCCAAGACCACTTGCTTACAAGGATTTAATTCACAAAATTGCAGAAATTGATATTGGAGAACTTATTTCTGTAAGAGAAACCTTGTGTGCTACCTTAACCCCCGAACAGAAGGTTGCTGGTGTGTACAGAGACTTGGAAAAAATGCTTCTCATCCTGAGAAAATTCTATCTGGAAACAGATCCCATGAGAAAGGACGATGAAAGACTGTCTTGGTTTGGTAAGAAGGGTGCTTTCAAAGTAGCAATAGGTGGTGACGGTTCCCCCTTTGGTAAATAGGATGAGTCCATGTCTTGGTTGGTTAACTTTATTAATGTGGAAGCAAGAGTTGCTAGCCCAAATGATAATTTCTTGTTGTTTGGTGCCAATTGTAAGGAAGATCATCCTGCTGTGAGATTATTTACAAAGCAGTTGTCTTCCAAAATTGAAGAAATTGAAAATAACACCTACACAGTTTTGGGCATGCAAGTAACTTTTTCATTTGAACTGGTTCCATCTGACATGAAATTCCTCTCTTTCATTAATGGAGAACTTAACAATGCTGCCACTTATTTTTCAAGCTTTGCAAATGTATCAAAGGAAGACTGCATGTCATTACAAGGTAAATTTGGCACAACTCCAGATTGCAAATGAAAACCATGGCCATACAAACAAAGACTGAACATTGCCAAGCAGGTTTTAAAGTTTAAAGATAACCGTCCCTCCAACCTTGCAAAGTCCACACAGAGAACCAGGATAACACGATTCATTGCAAACAAGAATTCTAGGCAAGAATTTGACCCTTTAATTGGTAATCTTTGTGATAAAGAAGTTGTGGAGCCCCTCCATTTAAAAAATAATGCAGTGCAACATCTGCATTCAATGCTTTTGGACTTGGCAATTTCATCGAGTAACCTCCCAGACAAAATCAGCAGCTTGTCAGATCTACCCCCGTCAAGTGCAATTTCCAGATATTTAAAAGCATTAGAGTCTGATGTGAAAGCTGGGCGCCTAAAGAAACAACCAGAAAAGTGGATTTTAGAAGACAGGTCCAAAGACAAGGACTTTTCCTGCAGACTCACTGGGAAAGACTCTAGACTCGTTCGGCATGGTTTCATGTTTCTGGTAGATGCAATCAAGGGGGATTCAGAGAACCCTACATTACTCATGAAGCTGATCTACAATGTCTTTATAGCAATCAAGTTGAGAGACTGTGCTTCAAGGTTCTCTATGTATCATATCACCCCTCCAGCTGTCAAAGAGTTGCAAGAAATAAGTCATGATTGCTTCAAAGCAGTAGAACTTTTCAGTGGAAAAGTTTCAGGCACAGTCTGGAGTATTGGGCATCTAGCTCCTGTGGCTGCCCTCGAAAGTCGTACTTGGCATCCGAAGGAGTTTCGTTGTTATTCACAAGAAAAAGAGAAAAACTTGAATTGTCAGATCTTTCCTTTATCTCCAAATAATCTTTAACTCTTCAGTTCTTCAGATAATAACTTAGTCTGCCTTACACGATACGGATGAGCGAACGATTACATCGATTGTAAACCTAAATCACACATGTGATAAACAAGAACATGGCGGCAACTAGCACGAGTCCTAAGCAAAATGGTAACAACCGCTGACCATAAATACTGAAAACTCCTTACTACAGCACTGCTGTAGTAACAAGCTCCAGTTCATACGCAGTGGATGTTTGACAAATATGGAACTGGTCTTGGTGTAAACACAATGCAGGGAAGGGAGGCAAAGCATGTCCAGATTGCTAGTTATGCGAAAAACAGTCTTTTCAAAGAATGCTGGCCCCAAGTGTTCCGACATGACTACATCAGTAAACTTTGGCTGCCTATTCATCAACCCTCCCTGTTGACCTATTACTAGGCAAAGGACAGCCTCATTCCCAGTCGCGTAACAAACGATCCACTACATCACTGTTATTCACAGGAAAAAAATGCATCTTCCAACATTGGAAGTTAATTGGTTAATCACTGTGATATCATTGGTATGTCATTGGTAAACCCAATTGGTATTCCAATATTGGTAAATGGTTATATCTACCAATATTGGCAAATCATATGAGATATACCAACATTGGATTCCATGTTTCCAATATTGGACCACGATATTTTCCAACATTGGCAAAGTCATCTCCAATATTGGATTATGATCTACTCCAATATTGGACAAAATATTTCCAACATTGGATAATAGAACTCTCCTACATTGGACAATATGTTTCAAACATTGGACAATAGTATACTCCAACACTGGACAAAATGTTTCCGATATTGGTTAACAGAACTCTCCAACACTGGAAATAATGGTTCCAGCATTGGACAACAGTATTTTCCAACAATGGACAAATGTTTCCAATATTGGATAATAGAACTCTCCAACAATGGACAACAGTATACTCCAACACGGGACAAAATTTTTCCAACATTGGACTGTAATGCTTTCCAAATTGGGACAAATTGTAAATCCAGTTATAGATGTTACTACATCCCAACCTTCGGATGGGTGCCCTTAATAAAATTATGGTTCTTTTATCAGTAAGCAGTCTGAGACCTATCTGAATTCACAATTTTTTTTATTTAATACTAAAATATAAAATGCTCTTTGAAGTTTGGTTACAGTAGCTAAGGTCTAACTCTCTCATCAATACAGGTAAATCACACCTACATACATAAATACATAACTTCAACTTCTGAATCGGGAGATAAAACAAATATCAGTAACGAGCAAGCCTAAAATGAACATTAATTGACAACAAATGCAAAGTGGCTCATAGTTTAAAGGCAATTAAAACACTTAAACGTTATATCTAGTTGCTCATGAAATGTACCGCGACAGTATATATTATATTAAGGTACCATATACAGGAAATTTAAACGTGAGTTTTACTAGATCCATCTTCAACTTCTTCTGACTCGATAGAGTCCCCACTCTTGCTACTAATCAAAGAATTAACATCAGTCACCACCTTTATCTGGTTTCTCTTTATGTTTTTGTAATTGATATTATCCTCTTTTTTGGAAACATGGCCATTCTTAAAAAGGGCCTTTGCTAAAGGTAGTAATAGGTCATATTTTCCTAAACTTCTAGTTTTCACATTTAGACCTTTCCCCAGTGGTAGCAAGTGTTTTCTAACAGTTAGGAAGTGAATGGATTGGACATTGAAAAATTCAACAATAACAACTTCAGCTGATTTGGCAGACATATCATTGACGTCACTGCTGTCTTCATCTTCCTCATCTAGAAAAGAAATGAAAATGCTATGTTGAAAGGCAATACAATTAGTGTTATAAACAATAACTGAAATTAAAACAAAAAGGTGAAATGGATCATGATGTACATGTGTACAACTATTCTATACATTTGTGACCAATGTATTCGACACAGAATGCATTGTTTGAAGTTTGGTTTTGTATCCTGGCAGTCACATATGCATGCACTTATAAGGTATCAAGGCATCATAATTTGGCTGCAGATGCTAAGTGAAAATGGTAAGATGTCTTATGACAAACCTTCAGTAACTGAACTTGGACACGATGAAGAAACTGACAATGTAGATTCTGTATCTGAACTATTTGCTGAAGATGCTCTTTTTGCCCGTTTTGCAGGTTTGTGAGTGGCCTAGAAAATGTAAACAATAATTATTGGCTATAAATCAAAGCATGCACAAGAGTATTCTGTTTTGAGCTAGAGCACATGCCAGGGTTCTCATTTAAGTATTTTTTTATTAGATGGCAAGGTGGCTGTGTCTGTGAGTTGACACAAGAAAGTCTGCCGCTGGCACTTGACAAGAACCATGACTGACACAAAATGCTTCTTTCATAGAGGGTGATGGGCATAGGGCCATACATGTATTTACAACCAACATCCCCTTGAACCATTAAGTTGACAACACTTCATTTTTCATGGATTTGAAGACCTCAAGCTTATTTGTACTGTACTGTACAAGTTAGAACTGATTCATGAAATTGGGACATCGAGAAATACATGAAACTGAATTTTGTAAATGTACAAGTGAATAAAAGAGCTTCTCTTCTTTATCACCAGTAATATATATTTATTTATTTATAAGTGTTACATTACCTCATAGTCGTAACCATCTTGAATTTTTCGGTTCTTTTCATGAAACCACTGTAACAGATGCGATTTCATTGCCTCTACAAAAAGAAACATCCTTATAGTCATGTTCTTGCACTGTTCAATTATTATTATTCTGTGTAGAAAGGATGTGACCATGCATACCATATAACATGTTCAAAGTTGATTCAGAGGTAAGATGGTAAGTTTAAGAGACCTGTCACAGTTGATTGCATTTACTGATACTCAGCATAATTTGTTGGTTTTATCTCAAATATCTTGTGCTATAGTAAGAATTTACTGGAATACGAATTCCATATTGTAGTATACATAGAATTCACATAGTAATATAAAAGATTGTGGTTGAAGTGCTAATGTTGAAATGACTGAATCTCACCTCGACCAAAGCCTATGTCTGGGATAGTACATGTTTTTTCCATGCGAGTAATATACTCCTCCATTTTCAACCTAGTTGATCCATTCCCCTTAATGTATAGTTTGGTATTTCCTGGCCAGATGACAGCAGCCTCCCGATTAAGGATGGAAATTCTGAAGAAAATGTACTTAAATGTTAGCACCAGAAATGAATGCAATATATTGTGGTCTCCGTATTTCAACATTCATAATGTCAACCATTAGGGGGCAATGTTTCTTTTGTGTTCAATGTTGTCATTGATATGTGCCTCAATCTTAGCCATCTCTGGACAAAAACTGTACAATTATTATGTGATTACAGAGGTAAAGGTAACTGTATGATGCCCCTTTTACAAAACAAACGTAAACTAAAACAACCACTAGTGTGCTGATCTGGCTACTTAATTCATTGCACCTTCTACTTTCAATCTTTTTGACAACTAACCCTATACTAGTCATTGATAATAAGAGTGCAGTGTAGTTATGCAATTTCTAAACAATGGTACACTGTAATTAGTTACTTACTTTTCAAGATACTGTGATTTCTGGCTTGGACTCCAGGTACTTCGATCTGCCTTGGTTATTTTTTTTTTCCAAGCTGGGCCAGAAACTGAATGATAAAAATTTTAAAGTTATTGAAAGCTTTTTGGTGTCATCTCCCTGAAATGTGTGGCTAAGATGTTTTCGATCAGTGTAACCACTTTTAGGCCAGTCCAAGTGAATGGTTTCAAAGTGCTTCAACCAGTTACATTGAAAAACAACAAAGTAATGAAGAAAGGTTGGTCATTCGACTTTTTTCCAAGGTGAAGCGATAATAAAAAATTACAGTGCTGACTACACACTTCCACCAAAACTGAAAAATCACCTGACTTATCTCCCACTTTTCCTCCCTGTCCATGTAGTAGCTCAGTAATCTTGGCAAACATCTCCAATCTCCTTCCCATTGAGGTAACACCAATCTCCTTCAGATCCCCTTTCTCAAGACCATACAAGGCCTTCCCAGTGATTTTTTGGCCTGTCAAAGCAAAAGTACAAGTGTACGATTTAATTTAGAAAAAATCTGTACCTTGTGTTGATCATAAAATGTGCACATGATTGGCAAGTTTAACCTATATGAGTGAAAAATTTTCTAAACCAAGAAATATATGAAACCGCCAACAAAACATACAGACGAAATCTCTCAGGTCATGGAAAATTTCAGCTCCAAATACAGAGTAACGTTTGCATTTCAAACCTGCAAACATAGGTCCCTCTTCACTGAAGCCCTCGTCAGCTAGCCATGAAGAAACATCTTCTTCTGACCACTTGCTGATGTCTTCATCTAGGTAAATTAGGGAAAACAATTATAAAAGTTTAAATCTAAGGAATTGTTAAGGTTGCCTTGGACATAAGCTTATAGAAAAGCTACGGTAAACTTTATATTGTTAGATTTTGAGATTTTGAGAGTCCTTAGCGAATTGGCGCCAAATTTTACCCTTCTGTCGTTTAAATCTGGTTGGGAGATAAATCTTTGAAATATCGAAAGAAAAATCGCATATTGACAAGTAAAGAAGCTTATTTACAGAAAACAAACTTTTGCCGCCTATTTAAGCTTAAGACTTGTTAATTTAGCTGTTAGAGAATACGCTTCTTGCAAGCAAGCGCTGTTAAATTATCGCAGTGCCATTTGCCAAACATGAGCTCCACTAATTGATTAACATGGTAGCAAAACAGATGTGGTCACCTCTGGATGGTTGAATACCACACGCTTCTTCTTCTAGTTCGTCTCTTTGATCGCCTGCGATTGAATTCATCTTGTTTTTCTCAGAGCACAACTGTGTGAACCGTAAACTGTGAACTTCTTGATCAGTCGGCTTCTAGTATTTGCCCGCAATTTTTTGCCCGCGTAAAACTTTGCGCATCCACCAATAAGATGTACCACTGGTGAAACTCAACACCGGTAACTCTCGTCTCTAGAGTCCGCGATCATTTTGGACAGCAGCAAGAGTCTTGTCGTTCTACAGAGCTACGTTACGCTATTTTTCTGCGTTCGCGATTTTAATACCTTTATGCCTACATTCGTTTTACCTTGAAGTTGAAACAAAAAGCATGACGGCGTACACAAAGCAAGGAAATCTCTGTAGATGTTTGGAAAGCGACGAGGCGAGGCAGATATCGTCTTCTGGCAAGGCGCATGTCCACTGCGACTGTCTTATGTGTGAAGGAAAGGCTGTTTATCCCATGACGGCATGGAGGCATCTTCAAAGGACAAGAAGAGCTAGAGGGGAAACATTGGATGATCAATTAGTATTCCCATCTACCTCCTCATCAGATATATCAGATACTTGTGAATCGGATCACTTGTCCAGCTCTGGATCTGTTGGGGAAGTTTTTCAGGCGTCAGATTCATTCTGCGAATTTCCCAGTGATACGCCATCAGCAATGGCTGGAAGACCTTATGAAAGTGGAGAGGATGAGATCGAAAACGAATCGACAGCCTCAGAAATACCTGGTGATGCCGAAAGTTTCATGTGTATGTCATCATCAGATGAGGATGCCAACATGCATAGTGATGACAGCTGTATTTATGAAGATTCCGAGAGAGATCCAGATGAAGATGATTTAGACCAAGACGAACGCCTGGAACAATTTGTTAATGACACGGTTCTAAGGCTGGTGGAAATAAAAGGCCAAGCAGGATTTTCCCGGAGTATCTTCGAGGATCTTCTCATCTGGGGTAAGGACATTCTTAACAAAGCAAACCCAGACCTAAGGTGCATGTGGCCATCCGACTGGGGGGATGTGCTTGTTCTCTTAGAAAAGTTTGGATACAAAAGTCCAAGGTTATATTGGATCTGTTTGGATGACAGCCATCCTTATCTGTTTGGTCTTCTTACTACAAGGGATGAACTCTGTCCTCATTGTGGCCATCAGGGCAAAATACCATATTATTATCTCAGTGTAATAGATAAAGTCAAAAGATGGTGCTCATCACCTTCCATGTGTCAAAAGATGACAGCCCATTGGAAAGAAAAAATCACATTGGCTTCCTGAAGAGAGAACTGAGGGATGGGGTTGGGAACCAAAAAAGAGTTTTGGGATGGTACACGTTTTGCTGAACTTGCATACTTTTGGGATCCTGAGGTTGAATGGACTCTTCCTGTCAAGTGTCCAGTAAATGGCTGTGGTTGTGTAACTTCTGCAGAGACTCTGTTGGCCTGTCCAGTCCTTGATGGTGATTTACGGCAAGTTGAATGTCGTAATTGCCACAACACCTTTCAGCATGCTCCAAAAAGAGTCACTGGTGACCCAAGAAATCTAGCATATGATGGTAAGTCGATTGAAATATCTCATAGGATGTGACAGGGGAAATTTGAGGATACATGAACAACATTAGAAGAGTGTGTTGTTAAGAGTCATAAACCACAAGAGGTATTTGAGAATCAAATAGAATCCGTTTTATGACAATATCGTACAAAAACATCCCTGGTTTTGCCAACTTTATTTATTTTATTATCTATTCAACATTCTTTGGCATAATTATTTTCTGATAAATGACATGGATATATATCTTTTGCCAATCACAGTGCATGATGCTGCCATTGTATAATGTGACAGATGGTTAGTTTCACCTGTCAGCAGCCCCAGCTGATTGAAAACTCTGTGTGTACACTATAGAGTATTTTTTTGTATTTATATATACCCGGATTTTTGAAAACCGGGTTAGCAAAAATATCCACTAATTCTACTAGGTTGCAATTTAAAACAAGAAAACTCGTTCAAAGGCCAATTAAAAGCCTTCACCTGACGCCGGGCAGGAAGTTAATGGTCCCCAGAAGCATTCCAACGAGTCCAAATTTAAAACGATGCAAATTTTAGAACATTTATTCACTAATCTGACTTCGCGAAGTTTCAAACCGGTGTCATTTCAGTCTAGAAAATTTTAAGTTGAGTGAACTGCAGCGAAAGAGTGCCTGGTTAAGGCTTACATAAGACTTAGTGGTCACCTTAGAAAAGCGAACAATATCGTACCTTTCTGTCTCAGCCCGGATCAGGGTGATTGATCCGTTTAGCCAAATGAAACGAGAATATAATGCGATATTGGACGATGCAGACTCTGCGAATCGTAATAACTCTGTCCCATCTCAGAGCTTTACATGATGCTCTCCGGGAAACTTTTCTTAAGGTGACCAATATATACAACAAAACTACTAAACGGCACCGAAACCAGCTTCAGGCGCGCGCTGATTTCAAATAACTGTCACTTCTGTTAAAGAAAGAATTGTGGGTAGGGAAAAAAAATCAGGGGGGGAGGGGGGGTAAGATAGCAATTCTGTCTACATCCACTTCTACACAAATCCCTAACCACAAAACGAGGAAAAAAAACGACATAAGGAAGCAACACAGTGAACATATGTCAAGCTATTAGACAGGGCAAGTTGAGAAAAATTATAAAATGTTTGCTAACCCGGTTTTCATAACTCCAGGTAGATATACATGTACATTGACATAACAAATGACTGTGGTATTCCAAATTACACAAAATATGGACATATAATTTAAACTTTTCTTTCTTGTCCACATTACAGTACATTGGGATGGATGGCAGCCATTCTCATCAACATCAAGAGGATGTGGTTAGTAAACTTGCTTATATCATAACAGAAGATGACTCAATTAACTTGAGGTACATGTACCATAATTTGCAGTGTATGGTATGGTATGGTATGGTATGCTCTTAGCTACATCTCTCATAGCTTGAACTACTTTCAGTTTGTACATGTATAATGGTGTGAACCTTTTGACACATCCACCACTTTATAAAATAGTTATTTTCCCTGGGATTATTTTTAGGAGCCTTTGAAGTTGGATTAGCAACCATGTCAAAGGAGGATCGCTGCCACGTTGATGAGGTCTATGTTTTTGGTTTTGTGCCTTCTTACCTGTTACCCAAGAAACGTCCAATATCACTGGATCCTTTTATGGAACCCTTCATAAGAGACATTGAGGATGGCTTTATAAATGGTAAATATTAATTACCTTGTGAACATTTCAGAATGCACATTGTAATACTGATGTTCACTTTTTAATTTAAGAACTAAGGATATGGTATATTTTTTTAAACTGTATGAACCAAAATAGTATAGTGAAGGCAAAGGAAATCAAAATAACCCATGTTCGATATATCAAAATTCTAACATGACTGGGGCTTTACTGTCAAAACTCTATATTTGGTTTGGTTGTTTTGCAAGTCTCTTCTGGGAGTAAAGAGACAACCAAATCTGGAAAAATTTGCAATTTTGTAGGTAAAGCCTTGTCATGTCAGAATTTTGAAAGATTAAACATGGACTGTTAACTAAATGTTATTGCATGATCCAAAAGCTGTTACCCAAAGTTTGAACAATGTTAATGAAATTATTCATTTAATAACTGTGTGGCTATTAGGGATTCAAGTTAACTATGCAGCACCTATTGGTGGAATGCTCCTAGGACCAGCTTTGGTCCGTCATCTTGTCCTTTGCTGCTCAGGAGACCACATGGGACTTTGTGAAGTGGGGAAATTTGTCAAATGTGGCAAAAAGGGCTGCAGACGCTGTGACACAACAAGTACATAAATTGTCTTTTATTTGTATTAATTGCAAGTGGCAATTCAGAGGTAAAGTTAATGACATTATTTTGTTATTCAGTGAACCATACTACATCTGTAAGGTGCATTCTTCCACACAAAAATGCAGCTGGATCATGGCATGCGGCAGAAACCTGGAAGAAGCCCTAAAAACCCTAAGTTTACAACAACTGACTCAGCTACTTTGCTACAAAATATATTGTGCAATGTTGTAGAAATTTCAAAAGTACCATGAAATTAGACATACAGTACACGAACACTGTGCTGTAAATGTATAATGATTTTATCTTTGTTATATTTTATAGGTGTTTATTTTCCAGACTCTCGCCACTACTATTACACAAATAATAGGTATCATGCAAGATTTCCTGCCCAGTCAAAAGACATCCTTACAAAAGTTACACTGCTCAAAGAAATTGAAGAGGAGGAAAGGGCTTCTGTTAGAGGGAACAAGTCCAAGGAATGTGGTTACACTGGACTTTCAATCATGCACCGGCTGTGGCCACTGTATGGCTTTCGCTATGACAAGGACTTGGTATTTGATGAAATGCACACTGTGCAACTTAATGTTGTAAAAGAGGCACTTGATCACCTGCTGTCTGATGAAGATCACCCTGTAGATTGGTATGAGGTTGACAGAAGATTACAGAAATTATCATGGACTGCAGGTAATTGATATCTGAACATTGGTAAAGCATCTTTAAGTCAATATACAGTTTTGCGCTGTTTTTGGGATGTGTCTGAAAACTAATGCCAGGAGCTGAAATTTGCTTGCATTTAGGTTATAATCATGCAGCCACTGAGATGCATCAGAAATTGAATTATTGATGTACATTGTACTGGCCTTGCTATTAAAAAAAAAATTTCGTTCCTATACTATATTTCCTTAATCCAAGTTGAAAGGTCATGCCATCAATGTTGGAAAGGCCAAAATATGAAATTTGAGATTAGTCCTCATTTGAGGACATATGTGTACATTTACTGTATTACAATTTTATTTTTGTTTTTACTAAATTAACAGAATTTAGAGCATCCAGACTTCCTCGAGGTATCACAACCCGACTTGGATATTGGAAAGGTTGGATGTGCATTTGCTTTTCAAGAATTAATTTTAAAACCAGTTTGATCTTTATTTTCCATCATTTCATATGAATATCATTATAACACAAACTTGAAATCAAAACTAAATTTGATTGACAACAACACATGTAGTTTCTCTGTTTTACAATACAAAAATAACTGGATTTACTCACCTTTGTGTGAGAAAACATACTTGCCGTAAAATGTTAGTGACTAGAAAGTGCCCTCTTTTTACAATTGTTATTAATAGCTACTCTTTCAGTGACGCCACATTCTTTCCCTGCCCCACAACAACTAATTTACTGAGAGGTCAATTGCTTTTCATTAGAGGGGAGAATGTGATTGTCCTTGTGGCAGTTTTTCCATGGAGGAATGTTGTGTAACACAAGACACACAGCTGAGACTCTTGGTTTCCATCCACTTACTATGAGCTCTGAATAGCAATTAATTAAATAGGCATTCATACATGTAAATAATAGGGGTATTCTCTTAAAATTGCCATTTCAGCAGAGGAATATTCTCGCTTTGCATGGCCTGCATCTGAAGCTGTTTTCGCTGGTCTTCTGACCCAGTCACAATCAGAGTGCTGGTCTTGTGTTGCAAGGATTGAGGAGTTCATCCAGAACCACTCTCGTAGCGGTTGGAACGAGGCTGATGCAGACACTTTTCATCGAGTTGCCCTCCGTTATACTGTGCTAGTGGAAGAGGCTCATGGTCCCCAGCGTTGTGTGATATCTCTTCATAACCTCCAGCACTTCAGAGAAGACATTCATAGATTTAGTGGGTTGGACAACTATGCCTGTTGGGTGAAAGAAAGGGCAGTGAAGCGGTATATACGACAGTCAAACAACCACAAGAATATAGAAGTCACATTTGCAGCCACAGAGATGAGGCGTGAGGTCCTAAAAATCAAGGGCAATAAGGAGGAAAGCCTTGAAAGAGACAAAGTCAACCTGCAAAAGGTATGTCACTTTATTATATGGCTGAACTGGTCCATGGTGAAAAGTAGCATTCTGATTGGTTTCCTCAGCAGCCTGAATTTTGCAGTATGGACTACTAAGATGGACTGCTCATGAACTCCTTTTGTTTATTGTGTTTCTGAAAAGATATTCAAAAGAAAACGTTTTGGAGTTAAGTAGAAACCTTTTCCTTGTTGTCTGACCAGAATTTTGGGAGAACTTTAACAGAAATCTCGTAATAAAAACAATGTTTTTGTCTTACTTGCCTGCGCATTTGTGCTATATATGCTGTTAGGAAATTTAAAATAGAGCCATCATAATAAAATATGTTGTTGTATGTTAACTACCAATCATTATTTTTATTTTTACTCTTACCGGTACATCATTTTATTGATTTTCAGTTATGGGCAAAGTCCCTTTCTCAAGCAAAACTGTTCTATGCGAGGAATGATGATGTCAGATGCCAGGGTCATAGAGGTATTCTTGTTGGTGGTCTTCAAAATTATGACTTGCCTCAAGGTACAAGGCGGACAATAGCAGAATGCTGTACAAGTGAAATTTGTGAAGTTGACGAACATGGAAACTGTTGTCGCAGTTTTTGGTTGCCAGAACATGGTTATAGTGGTTTGCTTTACAGAGAGAAAGAGAATGTAATTGTAATAGTCCCAGATGATGGTGAAATTGTCACTTCGATTGACACTATATTCACAGTACCTGTATTAGGTCAGAGGAGAGCCTTCATTAAAGCAAAGAAGTTTGAGTGGGATGGATATTCAATCGACAGCATCCACAGAAAAGTTAAAGAAACTAATGACTTTGTAATCACAGAACTAGAGAATGTAAGCAGGAAGGTTATGTTACAGCAGTCAACTACTGCTCATGACAGTTTTCTTGTCATTGACTTTATGAGGCGACTGTTTCCAATTGCATTAGGAACTGTGGTTTTGCCATACTATCCTGTTGTTAATGACATGATCCTGGTAAGAGGAGCAGCCATAGATGATGTATGGAGAGCTAGGGTGGTTGCTTACAATCTTCCTCGAAAATTTGTGTTGGGCCGTTTTTTTGTGAAGGAAGATGAGATATGGATTCCAGAGCGAGGCACTCTGAATCAGAACATCGCTTTTGCCAGTATACTTTCTATTGCAAGTGGTATTTGGCTTAGAGAATTTGACAGATGGCAAGAGAACTAACTCTGGTGTTTTCCTACTTTCTTGTTTTCAAAGGTTACGTACTTTTAAGGGTACCTGTTTTTGTTATTTAATTGAAGTCAAGTGAAATTTATGACCCTCGCAGTGTGCTTTCAACTTAAGCAGTTGAAAAAGCAACCTGAAAAAAATTCAGGCTTGCATGTATAAGTATGTACATTAATCATAACTGTATAGAGTGATTTTTACGGTGGCCCACAAGGGTCAAATGTGCAAATTAAAAATGTTGCTGCAAACTAAAAATTTTACCCGCAAGAGGTTGCATTGTCATCCAACATTGGAAACTTGTGCATATTCTCTTCCAATAATACCACAATGATATTCCAATACTAACCAGCCTATTATAAAAGTTTGGTATATTGTTGTGCTATCATTGGTTACTGAACAGTCAGCTTCCAATGATTATGCATTGTCATCCAACATTGGAAACTTGTGCATATTCTCTTCCGATAATACCACAATGATATTCCAATACTAACCAGCCTATTATAAAAGCTTGGTATATCCTTGTGCTATCATTGGTTACTGAAGTGTCAGCTTCCAATGATTATACATTGTCATCCAACATTGGATACGTGTGAACATTTTGTTCCAATAATACCACAATGATATCCCAACTATAACCAGCCCAGTGTTAATGCTTGGTATATCATTGTGCCATTATTGGTAACCAACAAAGTGACTTCCAATGATTTTACATCATTGTCCAACATTGGAATACCAAGTGTGTTGTGCGCCAATAAACCTCCAATGATACTCCAGCTGCCAGATCATGAATAAAAAGCATTTTTCCTGTGTTGGAGAATAATTGGACTTTTATTGGTACACTATAAATTTCCCAATGATTATCCAATGTTGGATATTCAAACATCGAATTTTCCAAAGATTTACCATATTGGACGATGCATTTTTTTCCTGTGATTGTGGCTTTGCTAAGGGTGAATGCGACGAAAAGTGCTACTATTGTGGTCATCAATTCATGGCTGAAGTGACAAGGTCAGTTACTCAGGGAAAGCCCACCAAGGAGTGCCTAAAGTATATGTCCTGAGTTAAGTCAAGACATATACAAGACATATGAAACTTAGAATGCTTCAAAATGCACTCAGTGTTCTGAGGATTAAGTTGAACCTCAGCTGCTTAAGAATTAACGAAATAACTGATGTTTTTTATGCTTTGTATTTTGTCATGAACAAAGAGTTGAGAAAAATATCACTTTATTAACTGTAACTGTAAATATTGTAACCCAAGTTTCTCTGTTTACATATTGCTCAGAACCATAGAGTCCAGTTTCAGTGTTTTCAATAATGGTTTGCCTCATTTAAGTTTGATGAACTTATAATCATATGGAGGCAAAAGATAAGTTTAAAGTATTAATTATTTGATTGAATAATACTGAATATTTGATATGGTTCCACAAACATGGTGTATAAAACTTGAGTCAGCCTGACACATCCAGCCATTTTTTTCTACTCTGTGTTTAAAGGACCAACACCATTTTTTTTTCATGTAAACAACAGTTAAGCAATTTCGATAGTCGAAATAAACCAGTGACTTTCTGTATTCAGTGTTGCCTAATGCCAAACAAATTCCAGTAGCCATAGTGGAATTTTGCTTACAGACACTCTGCTTTTTCATTGTAGGTCATCACTCCTTTCTTGTCTTCACTGAAAATGAGCTTGGTTTGTCCCTTTCCTTTTCGCCTACCTGCTTGATAAATTCACCACAGTCTTCAAATTGGTCAAATAAATGACATAGCATTCTCAGACTGACAAAAGTAATTTTAACAGACCCTGGCTTCTCTTCAACTTCCACACCATACCTTGTTCTGCCAAGAATCTCTTTTTGTAAAAGGTTGAAAACCTCTCGTGCCATAGGGAGATTGAAAACGACCATCCATGGGTGCAATTTACTCATCCTTGGAGGCAGCCGGCGATCAATGGCAGATTTTGCACGGATCATACAACGCTCTAGCATTGGGTATAGTTCACCAAGTTTATGTTTAGGTCGCTCTCGAATCCCTCCAAAGTTTCCTTTCACAACTAGCTCAGAAATCTGGTTTAGTCGGTTGAATGTGATGTCCAGATCTCTTAGTTTATGTGCATTCGCAATTCTTCGCTAGAATGCTGACTTCTTATGCCTAAGAGCCTCTTTGATTGAATATATCAGTTCCTCTTCGGTGGGTTCCGCCATCTTGGATTTAGTTAAACTTAACCCCAGGTTATGCACAGCCAAATTGAAAGTTGGCCCAATTTCGAGCAATAATTTCCAAGCGTGAAAGTTATGTCATAAATAGTTACTTATTATAGATGTAAAAAACATTCTGGCCATGGCTTTGGCCTCCAGTTCATTAAATTTCCTGTCGGAAGAAAGACAAATAATTTTCATTAGTTACTATTATTTAGGACGGTAATGGCATACAGAGATAATAAATGGTCAAAAACTATGTAAGCATTTCAAAAAATGATTTTAATAGTTGGTCATATAATGGGAAGAGTTAGGGTAGAACAAATCCAAAGCAGGTAAATCATACAAAGTGACTTTGAAGAACAAATTAATTACAAGTGGTTTGTTTTATATAATTTTGAAGAACCACAAACTCACTGGTCAGATTGTAAAAAGGTAAAATATTTTGTCTTTGTAGGGTTAAAAATTAACTTTTGAACGAGGTCATCCACAAGACAACAATTTTTCCAGATCTAGGGATCCAAGGTGAAATTTAGGTGGCAAATGAAAACTAAAGGGGACTAAAAGCCAACACTTGTAAAAGACACTAATTGTTTTATAGCCCAATCAGTGAAAAGATCAAAACATGATTTCTTTGTTTTCCTGCCAAAGAAAACGCTAACATGGAGAAGGCATTGTTCAATTGGCCAATCTTGTTTCATTATCACATCAAAGCGAAGTTTTGATTAATTTTTAGGAAGTTATTGGGCATGAAGTTTTTCTCCCAAGTGTTTGCATAACCAACCGAAAAGCCACGTTCATTTTTCTGTCTTTTTGCTTTATGTCCTTTGCTTTGTTTCGTTCCCGTGTTTTTATTTCAGGGTCATTCTAAAGTCACTCTTTTATAAAATGCTTGTGGCTCGCTAACACACGGCATAGTGTACGTTACGTATTCAATTCAAGACAGGATACAGCAATACAAGGGGGTATTGCACAATAAGTAAAATATGTCAACAGACACTACCATAAATTTCTGATTATAACCCCACCCCCCTGCCACCCCTTTCCCATCGAAATTGAAATGAATTAAACTTTAAACAAAATTTTCGACGTTTAAAGAAGCAGTGCAAGTATTTTCATCACTGCAACATAGCTTGTTGTGAAAGACCTTTTTTAGTCTAGTTGTATAAGCCCAAAGTTTGTAATCTGAAGTTTACAGCATCCATGTACATGAAGATGTAACTTGAGTTTGGAGAAACCTGCAGGTCTACTCTCAGTATTTTAGTCATGGATAATTTTCATATAACATAACTGTTTTATCCTTGTTGCGCGGCTTGCGCCTTGGGGTGGGGCACACAGATTTCCTGTGGCCCCACCCCCCACAGTTGTAGTACTTAATATGAATGACTACAAATTGAAACAAAGAGTTATTTTGATAATAGCTATAAAGACATTATCTAGTTTGACTGGGCTGAGTATCAGCTGTCTTAATTTTACCATTAATATAGGGATTGGAAGTACACATCATGCATCGTACTGAACTGGATGACAGGAAAGGTTATTGTTGCCATGCCCTTGAATGTGTTTTCTATTCACTGTGAGCAGAAAGCTTTCAGAATATTTGTGAGGTCCTAATCTTCAATAAGCTTTAAACATCATAACGTTTGGTATTACCATCACCATTTGTTATTAAGAGAACTTCACTCATGTACAGACAAAGACTCCACTTATTCCTATTACAATTATTATTATTTATCACTGGATAGCCCTAACAGTAACCTAAGTCCCCACTAATACACCTCCTTACCCTGGAGTTCATCTTCTATGACTCGTGAGGGGCACACATGGGCTGTGTGCCCCTTACCATTGCACCTGTAACACCCTGTTAAGAAAAACAGATTATTACAAATTAAGGTTTGTAGAGGTTGTAATTAATAAAATGAACAAAAGAAGTTTTTGTCATATTCTGTTCAGTTCTACTTATGATGGGTGTTCGACCCACTGAAAAATTAATAGTTAACTTTACAACTGTAGGTGTGAAAAAATAACTAGTGCTCTTAACAAGCTGTTTTAATGTATGACTAAGTGAAAGGTGCATAACACAAGATTATGCATTTGTGAAACATTTTCGAATCACCCTCCTTGGCAGAATTCAAGTTGCTAAGGGCCTGTTAACAAGGAGAGAGGGTAACCTTCTGCTAGGCTTTCCCTAGCAAGCGGGTCAGGTTTACAATCAATTTTCACGGGTAAGGTTACCCTATCACCCGGTTCAACTTTACCAGCTTTGCTGACATGTTTCGTGATGTGTGACATTCTTTGCAGCACGTGAAATTCACTAAGAAAGGGAAAATATTATCATAGTAGACAGAAAATAACTTGTTGTGATTCAGGTTCAAATTGGTACGATTACTGGTCACGCATGACAGCGGAAAGTTAACCTGGGTAGGCAAGTTGTCCCTAGCTAAGTGTTTACAAGGCAGGGAGGGTAACCCTCTTGCTAGGGTAACCCTAGCTACCTGCCTTGTAAAGTCGTCGTGTGAAAAAAGAAGAAATGTGCGAGTGCTTGGGTAACCCTCTTGCTAGGGTAACCCTAGCACCAGGGTTACCCTCCCACCTTGTAAATATGGCCTTATACGGTAATGGGCAGACTGAAGTTGTGCCTTTTTTAAAAGAGAAAATCAACTGGTAGAAACAGTGTAAAACAATTGTTGTAGTCAAAATAGCGTGAAACTATTTATTTGTTGTACAAGTAAAGAACAGTTAAATACAAGTAAAGGGAAAAACATGGTCAAGTGGTACAAGTTCACTTTGCAATTTCCCCC